AACTATTAAAAAATAAAACACAAAAAATCTAAGATGTAGGAAGCTCCTCTCCACCTCATTCTACCACCAAAGTACAAGCTAGTTTTCCATTCTATTGGACTTACTTCTGCTCTCTTTTCTTTGCATGAACTATGTATTTTCACATTACTGTAGTTAAACCATGAGCTCAATTGTGTGATCTATTTTTTACTTTAATAAGCATTTTCTTTATTAATATAATCCCCCCAAATGAGCTTTTTTTTCAAAATGGACATAGTTTACTTTGTTAAAGTACTCACCACAAAAAAGTCAACTTGAACTGTGACATAAACACTGCAAATGATCATTCGCTCATCTGACAGTTATTATCAGGCACACTGATGTATCAGGGCAGTCCTCAGTAATTACAATTTTTAATGGCAAAATAGTATTCTCTCAAGACATTGTAGTTCTCTTAATTATTTGGCTATTTTTGGAAATCTAGGCAGCCAGATTTGTCTCACTCTTTTGCATGAGGCTCTCTGAGCATCTTGGGAGAGAACACTCATGCTGTCCTGAGGAGAGGACCCAGACAACAGTATAGCCTGCCAAGTGGCTCTCCAGAAGGGCTTCTGAATGTGCCAGAAGGGCTCACTCACTGCGGCCTTGCCAGCTTTAGGTATTCCAGTCAAACAAGCTGCCGTAGGTATCTAGGTCAGAAAACATCTTCTTTGCTTTATCTTCAGTTAATTACCATTTAGGGAGAACATTTCTACATGTTTCTAAACTATTTTCTTTAGTAAAATACCTGGTCTTAACTTTATTTACTGAGTTTTTCAATGTTTTTCCTGTGTGTTTGAATCAAGGAAATTAATTTATACAAGGGAAATAAAGGTATGAAATATTTGCTGCAAAACATTTTAACCTCTTGATTCTTTACCTTTTTGATTTTGTTTTCAACCCATAAGATAAACACTTTTGTGATATCTTACTTGGATTCTAGGCTTACAGAATCTCTTCTTTTTAATTAACATCTTTTTATTTTATGTGTATGTGTTTTGTTTACATATGTTTCTGTGCTTATGCCAAAGGAAGCCAGAGATGGTGTCAAATCTCCTAGAACTGGAGTCCCAGATGGCTGCGAGCCTCTAAGTGAGTGCTGGGAACCGAACTCAAGCCCTCTGTAAGTGCAGCAAAGAGCAGCCAGGACTTTTAATCACTAAGCCACCTCTCCAACGCCATTACATGATCTCTACAAAATTCTAAGAACTATCAATTCTGGGTTTGTTCTCTCCCTCCTCTTTTGTAGTTATGCTTCTTAAGATGTTTAATTTTTTCCTTTCTTTCTATACTGGGGATTGATGCCAGGGCCTTGGGCATGATCCCACTGAGCTGCACCCACATTCTTCCTTAATACTTTTTAAATTTAGAGTTTTAATTTATTACCCAGACTGGCTTTGAAGTTCCAGTCCTTTTGGCCTCAGCCTTTCCAATAGCTGGAATTATAAGTATGGGATCACATATAAGTACATACTTATATGTGATCCCACAGCTGGTAAAATATTTAAGTCTCTAATCCAGGGGTCAGTATCTTCTTTGGTAAATATTTTCCACTTTCCAGAATACATGGTCTCTATCCCAGCTACCATGCTCTTTATGAAAGCACAAACATAGACACAGACCATATAAAAATGAATGGATATGACAATGTGCTAATAAAACTTTATTCACAAGCACAATTTTGCTGGATTTGGTCCTTGAGCTGTAGTTACTGAACCTCGTTTAATCCAAAAGAGATTCCTTTTCAGGACTATGAAGTAAGAAAGCAATGTGTCTCCTCAGTCAGGCTGCTAGCCACAGGTCCCCATTTTCTTTATCAAGGCACTTGTTCCCTGGAAAATTTATATGGGATCTTTCATCTTCCTCTCAAAATCCCTCCCCCCATTGACATGCCTGCTGGTGTCAGTGGAGTTCCTGAACTGCAAAATCACAAGCAGAGCTTCCTGACTAAACAGGGAGCAAGGAGGGAATCCAGGAAAAGGAGAGATGGAGAAGGCTCTGGGGCCATTCCATTCCCATTGAATTCCCACTGGCCTCTTGGTTTCCCTGAATAAAGAGTATTTGAGAGTGAGCCATCCCATTTTTTCCTTTTTGAACTCACTTTGGAAATTTGTTAGTCCCCGAACTATCCCAGAACTCAAAATTACTTGTGCTCTGCTATTATTTTGACATAAACCAGACCTAGGTTATATGTTGAGTTTAGTTCGATACTACTGAACCAAAGTTTGCATGGATGGATGGCCAGGGCCATGATGGTGGTGGCATGGGACATAACAGAGAAAGGAAGTGTCTGTTGCTCCAAAATAGGCCAGCCCTGCTGAAACCATTTGGTGTTTCCAGAGCACAGTTCTGTTTCCATGGCAGAGTAAGGGTTCTGTGTCATATCTCAGGCCTCAAACTGATTGCCTATGTCTATGGACTTCAGCTGCATTTCTCTCAGAAGAATGTGGGATCAGACACACTACATCTTGGTTTGGAGCCAAGGGATGACTGCGGCCCAGGAATAGCTGGTCCAGGGTCCTCAATTCCTGGGGACTTCCAGGAGGGATGTAGGCTAGGAATGGTAGCCTAGTGCAGAAAACAAGGAAAGGGGCACACAGACAGAACAGGTCTGTCCTCAGCACTTCTCCCACACCATCTAGTCTCCCTTGTGGCCCATGACTCATTGGCCTCCAGCTCAATGAATACTGGCTGGACATGAGTTTGGAAAAGGCCCTACCTATCCTGGGGGGGGGGGGGTCGGCAGAGCAAGAATAGCCATCACATTCTAGTCTTTGGTCTAGGGAGGAGAGAGGGCTCGCCTGGGGTGGCTGCTTAGTTAGGATCCTTGGACTGATGGTCCCTGGGGAGGTCTATTGGGATGTCTGGACATGTGAGTCCAGGCATGGTCAGAACTCTTGGGCCCCTGTGTTTCCTGCTACCCTTCCAAAGAGGAAGCAGAACCATAGCATCATTGTAGTCACCTTAGGGGACAAGTGGAAGAAACTCTGTGTCTACCTCCCAGAGAGAAGAAGCCTTTTGCAGCCTCACTACCTATCACTGCTTCAAGCTCTCAGCGTCATAGAGCATCTACCCATGAGCATCTACAGGGAAACTTAGAGGAGGGCCTGGCTTAGGCCCCTGATGGCCTCCGTGGCCTGCTGAGGAGTGCACTGGGATTCCTGACTGAGCGCTCATGTGCCCTAATGTAAAGGAACCTCTTCAGGACCTATTCCCTCCCAGGCCACCCCACAGACACTGCATGACTTTGGCCGTGCAAACCTCAGTGTATGTGATCCTGGTGGCAGCCAGGCCGTGGGTGACCTTCAGGTCCTGCTGTCACAGCCAGTTGGGATTGTTAAGGATGTTGGAGATGTGCCTAGCAGCCTTTTAGGTGACCCTCCCCCAGCTGCAGTTTCTGAGGTATACTTTCTCAGGACCACAATGGGTCACTGGCCTTTTCTTCCTTTGTTACTGTATTTGCCAATAGGCAGCAGTTGGGACAACTCAGCTGAGGCTGAGTCAGAGAGGTGGCAGCGACTGTTGCTTCCCATCTCTAGTGTTTTCTATCCCCAGTATCCTTGACCTCTTCTCTTTAAGAATAGCATGGTCACAGATGTTTCAAAAGAAAGAAAGGTAGTTTGGAGACCCCTGTGGCCTCAGAATTCCACGCAGTGACAAGCCCATTTCTTTACAACTCCTTTTCCACATGGGCTTGGTCCTCTGGCTGAGTAATCTAAGTAACAAAAGGGTCCCAAAGAGACTACTTTATGAGCATTTGGGACCCCTAACCTCCAGCTCCTGACCTTGACCCCAGTGAATTCCTCCTACCCTTGCCTCTGCCTGTTGGCCCAAGGAATTTAACCTGCTTCCAGAAACAACCCTCCTGACACACACATGAGGCTTGTGTCCCCAAGAGGGCGCATGCATGTCCTGGGAGTCTTCTTATCTAGTCCCTGCTTGTCCTGGCCTGTAGCCCCAATGGCTTCCAGCTGTCTATAATTTCCTTAATTACCTGTTTAGGCCTTGGTTATTTCCGGTTGTTAGGCTGACTCTGGGACTGGACTGGAACCACAGTAGCCAGCAGAGCTGGGGGTTTTCTGGATATGATGGGCTGGAGGATTAGAACCTGCTGCCTCCTCGGCAGGAGTCTTTCACAGAGGCTAAGCCATGGTGACTTCGGGTCTCCTTGCCCCTCTAAAGAGCACAGGCTTGCCCAGCTGTCTGTGCTTCAGGGCAGGAGGAAAGTGGGGGCCTGCGTGTGGCAGACGCGTGCGGGGGCGGGGCGCGGGCCTGGCTTGGCTCCTGCTGCAATGCAGCTCTCTGCCCGCACAGCTCGCTGTAATTGGATAATTAGTGTCATTATGCTTCCTGCCCATAGGCTTCTCTAGCTCCTGCTCTCTCTCTCTCTCCTTTTTCAGCTTCTGCCTTCTCTGGCAGAAAACAAATGACTGTCCCCTTTCTCCATGTAGAGTCATGACCCCAGTAACTATACTGCATGGCCCCAGCCAGAAGGGAGTTTCTAACTTTGCTTTGTACTCAGGGCCATGCAGCACTGTAAGAACCACTTGTGTGAGCATGTTGACTCATCCCACAAAAAATATTCTAGGGACCCCAGAGCAATGCAGGATCCAAGCAGACCTAGGGATGGCCTCTGGCTTCAGCAGTGGAGCCTGGTCCTGACCTTTGAACTGTGGGATCTGGCTGATGTCAGCTTCGGGATAGGCAGAGATGGAAGGTTTGGGAAATATATGTGAAGAAAAACTAACAGACTGAACAAAGAGCTTTGCCTTGCTTTATTTTCCTTGGGCTAATGGTCAGGAGGAAGCCTCCAGAGCAATGGATCAAGCCCCCTGAAGGGTGTGCACTGGGGGCATACCAAACTCAGCAAGGAAAAATGAAGTCTATTTTCAACTAGGCTGTGACTGCAGCCAGTGCTTGAGCTTCACAAGGACACTGCCTATCCAGCCACTTTATTAACTCTTTGAATTGGTTCTAATCAGGTGTCCATTGCTTTCTTGGATGTTCTGAGCAGTCACTCAGCAGAAGAGCGATACAGAATCCTCTGAAGACAAATTACTCAAGTTTACATCAGCCTCCACTCCTCGTTGGCAATATGACCCCAAGTAAGCACCTCAATCTCTATTCCTTAGATGCCTGTACTCCACAATAGGCATCCCCATCTCTTAACATAGAGCCTCATTGTGCAGGGCAATCATAATCATTTCCACAATGTCTTAGCTTGCATGTAACAGGACTGACCTTTTGTCTCTCTGCTTTGACTAGAACATCTAGGACAGTGTCAAATAACACAGGTAAGAGGGAGTCAGACTACAGATGCTCACGTGCTACACAGGGATCCCATGAAAGTGGAAAGCTTGGAAAGGCTCCTAATTCCCCACATCTAGGCCTGAATTGGGCACATAGTGAAGGTGGGGGCTCTAGTTCTTCCCTCTGCATTTCCAATATCTTCAGGTTATGGGATTACCCTCTTTAGTGAAGATCAGGAATAATAGCAGCTGTGTGAGCAAAGAAGTCCATTCCTGACTGCACACTTGTGTCCGCTGTGATGGCTTCTTAGTCTATAAGGATGTGGGCTCCTATATGATACATATAGATCCATGTGCAAGATGACACAAGATAAATGTTTCCGTCTGATCCTCACACCAGCATTTTAGCTAACAGGCAGAAGAGGAGCAGGGGAGAGTATGTCCTTTCTCTTTTACACCTCAACTTGAACTTTGAAGTTGTCCCTGTCACTTCTGTTTACATCCAATTAGCCAAAGTGTAGTTACATGGTCATATGTAGCTGAAAGGGAGTCAAAAATACAGCCACTGAATTGGACATCAAGACATATAGCTAGCAAAATATTATACAATCTCTTTCAGAACATTCTGGGGGTTCGTTAGCACTTCCCAAAGCTGTTTTGGCATGAGGAGTTGAAGTCAGGGCTCATGGTGGCTAAGTAAGAGCTCTACTATGGAGCTGTGTCCCTAGATGTCTTAGTTAGGGTTTCTGTTGCTGTGAAGAGACACCATGACCACAGAAACTCTTAGAAAAGAAAACATTTAATTGGGGTGGCTTACAGTATCAGATATTTAGTCCATTATCATCATGGTGGGAGCATGGCAGTGTACAGGCTGATGTGGTGCTGGAGAAGGAGCTCAGAGTTCTACTCTTGAGACAAAGGCAACATGAAGTGAACTGAGACACTGGGCGTGGGTTGAGCATATATGAGACCTCAAAGCCCATCTGTACAGTGACATACTTCCCCCAAAAGGCCACACCTACTCCAACAACACCACACCTCCTAATAGTGCCACTCCCTTTGGAAGCCATTTTCAAACCACCACACCAGCCCTTCTTTTATTTTTGTTTTGAGACAAAGTCCCATTAAGTTACCCAGACTGACCTTGAATTTATTCTAAAGCCCAGTCAGACCTTGAACTTTCAGTCCTCCCATTTCAGTCCACTAAGTACCTGGAATTACAGGCCTTGACCAACAGGATCTGCTTCCAAAGTCCTATTTTCTATAAAGAATTCACCCATCTTGAGGCCAGATTTTTTCCCCCAAGTGATTAGACCGTCCCTTCTGAGGATGGACTGGGCTTGATGCTCTCAAGGCAGCTCTGCCAGTAGCTCCAAGAATGGGACTACATGCCTGCTCCAACTGTTTCCAAGCAGGAGAGAAATTTGCAACATGACAGTGAAAGACCACTTGTTTAGAATGCTTGGACCAGGGGGTCTGCCCCTAGCACCACAAGACAGAAACAAAAGTGGGCCAAGTAGGTGGGCAATAATGGTAGTGGCAGGCAGCAAAGGCATGAGGACATAGAAGCTATAAGATATGAGCAGGGCACATGAGGAAGGGGTTCCTTAGGTTGACATTTTCCTGAGAGGAGTCTCCATACAAGCTCATTTCCACGTGAGTAGAATGGACCACTGATTTGACCTGCCTAGGAGGTGAGACAGTATGACTTAGGATACCACAGGAAACTGGTCAGGCCACCTTGGACACAAATGAGAAATGTGATTGGTTGGACTTATTTCCTTTTGGCATTATGGAACACACACACACACACACACACACACACACACACACACACACACCATGAAACAGGACATCACCATTAGAGCCAAAAGACTTGAAATATGCCCCACATCCTCACTGCTGGACTACCATCAGTACCATCAATCTCCAGATCTTGCCCATTATCTTGAGCTTCAGCTCAGCCCCACTAAACACCAGCTCCTCATCCTCCTCCCCAGTCCTCAGCACCCATCATCCTATTGACTACTGCCTGTCTCTGTAAGGCTAGTGACTCTCAGGACCTCCCAGAAATGAAGCCAGACAGTCTCTGTCCTTTTACGTCAACCACATTAGCATGGCATGCGTGGGAATTCCCTGCCTTTTAAAGGTTGACTGATGTTCCATTATATGCAAATGGAGGGACACACAGTCTGTTCAGTCCTCCATCTATGGACATTGGGCTGCTTCCACCTTTTGGCTATAATGAGTAATGTTTTTGCAAACATGGCTATACAAGTCTCCATGAGTCCCTGCTTTCTACTGTTAAGAGATAAGCTGCTGTAATATGATGGTGATTTTTTTCAGAAACTGCCATGGCGTATTGCATTGTGGTTGTCATATCTATCATTCTGTCCCGAGGCCTCTTTTCACTGGAGAGCTTGGGGCCCTCCCAGAATCTCTGAAAGCAAACAAATATGTAGTCACAAACTTGGCTGGTCATGGGATGCTCTTGAGGGGTGTTAGATTGGGTGGAGGTCCCAAATCCCCCTTTTGAATGGAGTAAGCAGTTCTCCAGGTAGGGAGGTCCATTCACTGCTTGCTTGGGCTGCCCTTAGTGAGACTAAAGTGACTGACCATCAGTTTGATACTGACCTACCCACAAGCAAGGGTAAAATTAAGCAATGTCTGGATCCTACCAACCCCATGATTCTGAATGTGGGCTTTTCTGGGATCCATACACCGTGTATGTACACACTTTTCCTGTGTACATTGGTCTTTCTGCAGAATGGGCAGGATCTCTATGACTATGCTGACAGTCACCAGTCGTCCTCCAGGTGGCCTTGAAAGACTCGCCTGCAAAGGCAGGACTTGAGGCAGGTGGATGAGTGAGCAGGGAGGGAGTACCATAGTGACAGTTGACCCTCTTCTGTTATTATTGTTTTTGCCCAAAGCTGTTCTGGGCTTAGAGCTATTCTGCAGCAGTGGCAGCAATAACAGAGTATATGTACAGATTGTACCAGGAATAGGGGGAGGAAAAATGGAGTAGGGGTGTGGCTGTCCCTTTAAATCTTTTCTCAGTTTTATTTCCTTCTCTTTTCCCATCCTCCTCTCTCTACAAGCAAAAGTGGTGGGACTGTGAGGACTCAGAAGCTGCAGTGACAGTGTCTCTGAAATATTAATGAGGTTGTTCTGCCTGGCTTCTTCCCTCCCCCTCTCTGGTGTATGTATGCCTTGTCCTTGGGTGGTCACCAAGGTGCATCAAGCAGAGGGGCGGAGCAGAAGTGGCCAAGAAGACAAGAGCCCTGTGCTGAGAGGGAAGTTGTGGAAAATCAAGGGTTAAAGCACCACCCCAGGGCCCCAAGCCAAGCCTATATCTGCCCCATCATGTTAGAGTGGACAGCCAGCTGCCCTGCAAGATTCTCTCCTCCCGGACCTTCTCCCCACCTGCTCCCTAGCTGGGCCCCAGGCCCCACCCAGTGTGCAAGTGTGGCTGGGATGTCTGACAAAAGGCAGGGGTTAGGCCTCTGTTCCTGCTTCTGGATCTGTTCTCTCCACCACGTGGGCAGGCTGGTGTCTTCCAGGTACCTGGAGATAGAGACAGACCAGGGCCTATTATTTCAAGGAAGCCCGAGTGAGTCACACTGCTGAGTCCTAACCTGGTGAGTCCATAGGGAGATACTAGTGGGTGGTGAGGGGGCCCAAGGTAGAAGCACATGCCACATCAGCCCAGGCTTCTGCCTGCTGCCCGTCCAGGATGGACTGTTGCCTTAGGTCCTGGACCTGGCTCTAGCACCAGGACATTGGCAAGTCCAGGAGCCATACACTTGGATTTGTGCAAGGGGACTGTTCTTATCTCTCAGGGCCCAGAAAGTAGGAAACAACTTGGAACTGGGACTTTTTGGCATAAAACTAGTGCTGGTATCCAGCTGCATCTACCTCAGGAACAATGGCAGCACTTGGTGGCCAGATAGCCCACCACTAGTATGGGTCCTGTGACCCCACAGACTTGGCTGGTGCTGAGTGAGGGCAGCCTTTGACTGTTTCTAACTTGACAGTGTAATGGATTTTGATGCTTTTTTTTTTTTTTTTTTTTTAGTTCTGACACGGGAAATGGTAGTGGGCTTTGCTATCTTTTCCTAGACCTTCTGAACATGAGGCAAAGCAGCTCCACAGAACAAGTCAACCCAAAGGGGTCCCTCTGAGCCTGCTAGGGAAGCTGCTCAGGGCAGTAACAAGGTGTCCTAACGTAGGCAGCTGAGACTCACCTCCGACCATCAAGCAAGCGTTTGATACTTGAGGTCTCTGATTCCACCTGAGCCCTAATTCCCCCTGTGTTAAACAGGTATTGTGCACAGTGGTTTGCAGCAAGCCTTGGTGGATATTGTAGGTACTGTTACTGCATGGACATTGGCAACTCAAAGGTCAATGCTAAGAGTGGTGTCACTAGAGGAAGCCTAGAAGCAGAGGGTCCTTCCCTCTGGACTTGCACCGCTTCCTGAAGGGCAAGGGCTGTCTAGGGTCACAGGAAGCACACATATATTAAATTGAAGGAGCTGGCAGAGAATCCATTCAAGGTGGTGAGAGAGAGAGGAGAGAGGAAGGAAGGGAGAGAAAGAGGAGAGAGAGAGAGAGAGAGAGAGAGAGAGAGAGAGAGAGAAGAGAAGAGAAGAGAAGAGAAGAGAAGAGAAGAGAAGAGAAGAGAAGAGAAGAGAAGAGAAGAGAAGAGAAGAGAAGAGAAGAGAAGAGAAGAGAAGAGCCAGAAAGGAAGAGCCTTGATATTCTGGTCAAGCAGATTTGAGTCACTAGAAGAGTAGGTGCTAGAGGGAAGAGACCAGAAGGAATCTGTGTGATGGTCATACAGTGAAGGTGAGCTAAACCAGGGAACCCAATGCAGGTTTCTGCTCTCTCTACCCTATGATGTTGGCCAATTTCTGCCAGGATGGAGCAAATGCCAGAAGGTTCAAGGGCCCCTCTGAGGAGGTTCTCAATTCAATTAAGCCAATTAAGGTCAGAAAGATGAAAGAGCACAGAAATGGTACATTCCCTGCCCTTTTGATGCCTACAGGCCACTCTCGGCAGCCAGCCCAGGCCGGAAATTCTGTCAGGCCTACAGAACTGATAGGCCCGGTCATTTCTGTTCTTGGTCATTTCAGTGATGGTTGCTGTCCTTATTAAAACTGGAAGAGACCATCGTCCATGTTTACAGACAAGCCAGGGATGAAGAGAACATATGGCTTCTGCTCTCTGCAGCAGTCAAGAGTCACCCACAGGAGGCCTCCCCTTAACTGGTACCTTCCATCTGAACTGTGGCCTGTTGAGTGAATGAAGATGAGGAAAATTTGAGTGCCCACTCCTATTGGCTTCATGCTGCCACTTTCCAGAGCTTCAAGCTCCTTCTCTGTGGACCAGGCTCCCACTTACTAATTCCTCCAACCCCATCGTCATCTGGGATAGACCACTCTGTGCACTTTGGCAACTCCCTGGTCAAATTGTGTCTCAAAGAATTAAGGATGCAGGTAAAGGCAATTCTGTTTACGGCTGTGCCCAGCCCTGGAAATGGGATCTTGGGCTCAGCAGCAATTACTTATGACTGGAAAACTAACTGGTAGATACATTCTAGAGAACGTTCCACAGTAACTGTAACTAAAGGAAGCCATTGGATGTCAGCAGTTGGTGATGAGAGAAAAGGACGTGTTGTTGAAGCTCAGAGATGGTCTCTGGTAGAGGAGTGATGGCCAGTGTAGGTTGGTGTGGGGCATGGGGAACACGCCAAAGGCAGAGGAAGAGCCGGAAGGTGCTTTGGGGAATTTGGTCTTCTTGATTGGGGCTGGAGAATGAAAATGTGTGGCAGAACTGGTCATGGACTACAGGAAGAGTTTCCTAGAGTGGCGGTGCCCAAGCCAGGCAAAGGGGATTTTAGGGCAACATGGCCACTAGTTGCTAGCCTATAGGGAGATCCCTCTGCTGGCAGGCAGGGTGTCAGGGTTGCTTAGTGGGAGATGGGGGGGACAGGAGCTAGACACAACTGGCAGTCAAGGTGTTGTGTTGTAATAGGAGTGGCGGGGCTGCATCCCCGGCACCCCGGCCGCCTGGCTAGCTTATGCCCCGAAATAACAACACACAAACTGTATTCTTTTAAACACTGCCTGGCCCATTAGCTTTAGCCCTTATTGGCTAATTCTGATATCCCAATCAACCCATCTCTAATAAACTGCGTAGCACCAGTCTTACTGGGAAAGATTCAGCATGTCTGACCTGGCGGCTTGCTTGCTTCATGGCATGCGTCTGCCTCAGAGAGCAGAGCTATCGCGTCTGCCCGGGAGAGGGGAGCATGGCATCTCTGAGCTCACTTCCTCTTCCTCCTAGCATTCTGTTCTGTTTACTCCTCCCACCTATGTTTTAACCTATGAGGGCCAGCCAAGCAGTTTCTTTATTTTTTTAACCAATGACCTTCCTCCATCAGTGTTGGGGGATACTGAGGTGGTAAGGGCAACTTGACCCCAGGACAGTCACACAGGAGCAGGGGTACCATGAGCTCCAGAAGTCCCTCTGGCTACAGGGAGGTGACCTCTCTACCCAGGACCCTTACTATGAGACACCAAAGGTCCAGCCATCTTCAGGGATGACAGAATTCCAAAATCAGGAGTAGTTCTACGCTGCAGGTCAGGGACAGGGAGGAGGGTGTGGCAAAAATGCCTCAGTTACATTAGGGGAGCCCTGGTCTCCTCCAGGACTCCTAGATCTGGGCGACTGTAGTTGTGACCTACAGATACATGCTCTGAAGAGCATGCAGACATCTCAGCGTTCACTTCACACCCCAGGCCTAAGAGCACCCTTATTTCCAGGTGGGCAAAATGGCTGAAAAGATTAATGGACTTTCAAAGAGTAAAATCTTTCATCTGGCTTCCCTTTCCCAAAGAGTCCCTGTGGAGTCCTTAGGCAACTCAGCTGGGGACTTGCAGGTTCTCAGCTGGAGCCCTGAGGCTTCAAGCATGGGGTGAGTGAATACAGTACTGAGCCCTCGCCTGAGGCAAGTACTGGCCACCCCTCCACAAGGACTGAAAGAGCCTGAGAGCCAATGAGGACCCTTCTGTGATTTCACTTGCCAGTACTGGGTACTTAGAGTCCTGTTGATCTGGCCTTTCCTCCAGCTTTGTCTGACTAGGGCCTAAGAAGCTGACTCATGGGGGGGGTATGCCGACTAAAGACAGTGTCTACCCTGACAAACTAGACCCATTCATCTTCTCCAGCAGCCAGCAGACTGGGGGTGGTGGAAGTAGTAGAGGACAGAACGCAGACCTGACAGGTACATCCAATTGCTTTTGCACTGGGACTCTGGGGAGCAGTAGAGCTCTGGTCAGAGACAGGAGGGAGGAGAAACACCCTGCTGTAGTCAGGACACCATCCTGAGCCAAGGCCACCTGGGGTAGGGGTTGGGGAAGGCAGATATCAGTGGGAAGCTAACAAGCCTACCTTGAGGCTGCAGTCTCAATTTTCTCTAACTCTGTCGTGTTTCCCTTAATGAAGCCTTGACTTCTTGCACTGACAATTGAGCGATACTTGTCATCCCCCTCCTAGGTGGTTGGCATGGCAAAGTCACAGAGCGCCAGTGGAAGGAACACACTCTGCCCAGCTTCCTGTGTGCCCACTGCTTGCCCCTGTCATCCTGAGTCACTGCTTCAGGCTGCTGCTGCTCAACCAAGCAGAAGGGCCACGTCCCTGTCCCTCCCCGGGCCTTGCTTAGCTGTTTCTCCTTTCAGTCTTTTTTTTCTCTTTGTCCTTCCTAGAGGCCTTCCCTGAAACCCCAGCCGGAACTTTAGTTTTGTCAACCTCTAGCACAAAAAGTCAGTGCCTGCCACAGATACCAAATATATATA